GAAAATATTGAAGTTATTGACAGTTGATTTTAGTACCTTATGACAATATAAGCAGTCACCTCCTGGCGACTTTTCCTTCTGTGCTTGGAGTAGGAATAACAGAATTTTAAAAAGCACTGAAAGACTGAATACACAGAAAAGTGAACCGTACTGCAGATAGCTCATAATGGCTGAAGAGGTGTTGAGGTGATTAGAGGGATGAAACACCTCTCCTATGAGGAAGGCTAAGAGAATGTTCAGCCTGGAGAATGGAAGGCTTCAAAGTGACCTAATTACAGCCTCTCAGTACAGAAGGGAACCTACAAGAAAGCTGGAGAGGAGCGATTTACAAGAGCATGAAGTGACAGGACAAGAAGGAATGGCCAAGGTTGGATGAGGCTTTGAGCAACCTGGCCTAGTGGAAGGTGGCCCTGCCCCTGACAGGGCAATTGGAACCAGATTATCTTTGAGATCCCTTCCAAACCAAGCCATACTTTGATTCTTTGAAGATTTTCATGGTGCATATGAATGATTCTGAAGGAAATGTAGCCTCGAGAAGAGAGGATGAAGAGAGGTCTTGTGGCTGTCTGTAGCTGTCTGCTTGAAGGGCACTGATAAGAGGAAGTGAGACTCATCTTGGAGGTACCCAGTGGAAGGACAGGAGTCAGTGTTCATCAGCTGGAGCATGAGAATTCCTGACTGGGTGCTACAAAAAACTATTTAATGGTGGAATTGATCAGACACCAGTCTCCAGAAGATGTGAGGAAATCTGTTGCTGGAAGTGTTCATGACCCTGGGCAAGGTGCTGAGCAGCCTGAGCTTTGAACAGCAGTCTAGCTTTGAACTAGGTATTATACTAGGTAGCTCCTGAAGGTCCCTTTCAGTCTAAATTACATTTTCAGACTGTCTTTTAGAGCTATTTGGGATTGAACACAATTTTTGCTTAATGGCTTTGCTCTGAGTCATACACAACTTTAAATATGTGTCAATCTAGACTGGGGCTTTCTGCCAGCTTTTCCATTGTGATGAAGACTATTGTATTCACTACTGGCCAGAAATGTCAATGGACCGCCCCGATGGTGAGGATAATTCAGGTTCTTGTTAATACATCCCTTGGGGCAGGTTAGAGATAAACAACACTGAATGATCGGTGTTTATAAATATATTGATATGTAGGATTTATTTCAGAACAATTTGGTAGCAATGGAAAGCCAGTGTGTAGCTGCTTTGGTTAAGATTATCCACAGAAATATACCAATATAAAAGCATAAAAATAACACTTAAGAAAATGTGCAGGGGAGAAGAAAGATTGATAGAGAAAGGATAAGAGTAGGAAGATATCACCACCATTAAGGAGATTTGATTGTTGCCGTTTAGTTGTCTATTGGTCAAAGTGATGGTCACAGTCTGGATGCATTGGAGGTGAGGGAAAGCCCACAAATCACAAAGTTCAGTGAGCCAGGATAGTTTAGGTTTTCATGGGGACCCCTCTGTCTTGTGAAGATCAGAGGTTTCACCACCACTCATCCAAAAGCTTTCCTGCTCCCTGTCAGTTGAGGGGTGGTGCAAACCTGGCCAACTGTTTTGAGCCATTAACCATTAACATTCCAGTCTCTCCCAGGAGGCAAGGATCCAACAGGGAACTGGGACAACTCAGCAGGCATCCTGCCCTGCCAGCTTCAGGCTGTATCCTGTTCAGAGCAAGGTATGACCAAATGTGACAAGTGGGACATCAGGCACAGGTGAGAGCCTGGGGTGTGTCAGGAGGGATGCTCCACAGTATGAACATCAGGCTAACTCTGACCTGTGTTTGGACAGTGCTAAGCCTGAGCTAATATACCTTTTCCTTCAATCAAGGTATTTTTTCTTGGAGTTCCTCTTGTAAATGTTAAAGTTGCATTGTCTTGGTTGCTTCAGATCACATCACACTTTCAAATATCTTGAGTGATCTTGTGTCGCTGTTTTAGATGCTGTAGTCTTGTAATAAGTAGCATTCCCTAGACTTTAGGAAAGAGTATTTTTAGAAACATTGGTAAACTTCCTGTTGCAGTGATGATCAGTTTTTATGAAATGAGGTGATATATAAACAATAAATGGCAAGGGGGAAAAATAATGACTCTCATATATAAAGAAAATGTAGAGAGATAAATCAATCAGCACAATATCACACAAGAAGTTGACAGAAGTTCTGAACTGTATCTAGCCTTGAGTCTGTGCCCTGGACTCTGATTGCTCTGTGGAATAGAATAAAGTCCAAAAATTTGGAGTTACAGTAGCATCACAAATATCAATATTGCAGTTCCCACTAACATACTATTGCAGCCAAAGGCTGAATAGTGAAGTTTTATTACTGGATGCTGCTGATTATTTCATCAATATTTTAGTATACCGAGAGCAGGTGTTGGGCTTTTTAGTTTGTGGTTTTTTTTTTTTCCTGCATGATGCATGAACATAAATAAACTTAAAAATTTTTCTGACACTTCATTTCAGTATTGCTGTTGTTAAATAATTTCTTTATTTTGCATCTAGTGGGGTGTCTTTACTGATGCATGGCTTTTGCTTATAGGAATAACAAAGCTGCCATCACAAAAACCCAGTGACAGAGCCTCAGATTCTGTCCCAACTTCAGTTCGTAATTATATAAAATGGATGTAACTTTTTTTGTCTATGTATGATCTCTAAGAAACACTATGCTGGCTAGGGGCTGCCAAATTGCTGTGGTATTGAGCCCTTCACACACCTTTCTGGACTTTTTGTGATTCTATAAATGTGCTTCTCCATCAAAATATGAACTGTCTTTCTGTAGTAGTTGCTGTAGCATAGGGAGTATGAAAAGAAACCTTGCAATTCCTTGAGGAGGAAAAGATTCTCAGCAGGACAGCCTTTGTTATGCAGATTTTAAAATGACATTCAGATAAGAAGATGAAACATGATTGTTTCCATCCTGAGAATGAACACCTTTATTCTGTTTGTTTTTCTTTTATCTTCTTCCTATTTTTCTGTCCTAACTGCAAGTTTGGATAAAGATTAGCCAAGCATATGGAACTTAAATTCCTGCTATGTAAGTATGGGTTCACTGTAGAAATATGAATGATACTCAGCTGGCCTCTGGTTCTCAAATCTAAAAAGAAATATTAAAGATTTGTTTTTTCCCCAATTATCTTATAATTTCAGGGCCTTTCTAATTAATGGAAAAGATGAGGGAAAAAAAAGGGCCAAACAGCAACCTCAAATAAACAGAGAAGCATTGTTCTTTTCACCACCCTGGGCTGCTTTTTACATATGACTTGTTAAAAATAACATGATTTTCAGGGCTTGGAAACAGAGACCTTGTTGGCTGCTGACTGCATTTCAGTTCCTGGAGATTAGCAAGATTATCAGGACTTCAGGTAAGCAAGAGGGAAGTCATACAAGACATTTAACGGGGGCATGGGCTCCATAAAGATTGAGTCTGCAAATAGCAATTTCCTTTGTTGCAATGCATTGTGCTCTCCTGCCTGTGACTTCCAGATCATAAGACTTCCTTTTATAAGCTGGTAGAGAATAAATTGTATAAAGCTTTTATTATGTAGCCTTACTTGGGTCTTTTGCACTTCTGTTCTAACCTTGAGTGGTCTGTCTCTTTTTCTGGCGAAGAGCTAAATGGAAATCAAGCTCTTGTTTGTGGCTGCAGCCAGGGGTGTCAACTTGTTGGATCTGGCAGCACAATTTTACAAACCATGAAAAAAGAGAGGAAAAAAAAAAACCAATAATCTGTGAAGAGTAATTTTAACATAACTGGATTTGAGAAGGATTTAAATGGTTGTTACATAAAGGAATGTTTGTGAAAATCAAGTGATAATACTACCTAAGAAATGGTGTGTTTACATTTTTTCCTTTGTTTATGTTTGGATGAGGAGCCACAATGTCAATTTTTTTGATCATTCAGGAAGAGAAAATTATATTTACAAGAAAATTAATTTAAGAGATCAGTTAAAGGTTACTTTGCTGCTGACAATCAAAACAGCAGATGTCTTGACATTCCTGCTTAGTTGCAAACATTTTATCTTCCATAATTTCTGTGACTATCTGATTTTTTTAATGTTTTGCATTATTTTGTTGGCTTGGGCAGAATGTGGGATAGACACTGACTTCTAAGGGTACAACTGCAACAAAACATGTTAATATTTCTTTGCTTCCTCCTCTCTTGAGACGAGGAAGAGGGTTGCCTAATTGTGAATGTTATTGTGTTAATAAACCTCTGTATGTTCTACTCTGAGATTCTGTTTTGTTTTAAAGTGAAGACAGAAACTTGTCACCAGTAAAATCACCAGTGAGGGGTTCTGTCCTGAAATAACATTGGATTGGAATCTTTTGGTCATGATGTTACATCACAACACAATCCAGAAGCTGAGGAATAAAGGGCTGAAATTCTTGGAAATTACCCAGTAGAAGGAATATTTCCCATGGCTTTCAGGAGCTGTAAAAGCAATTTTCTTCAGGGTGATAGGAGAATTGTAATCTCTGTGTATTGGTTATGCAGAGCATGCTCCTTTATGGGCCATCAGTGTAGGAGTATATTAGCACATGACTCAGCTATTAGTACGAAAATCAGTTCTGTTCTTTTAGAAAAAGACATGGAAAGGCTAGTGAAATTCTTTTCCTGGTCCCCTGTTTCTGATGGCCACACACCATTTTTTGTAGCTGCTGAAGCCTGCTCAGTACTGGCCTGAAGGTAATTCAGCTCTTCTGGCAATAATGATAGAATATGTAGAGACTTGTTTTTTTTTCAGTTCCTTTTATTTTCTTATTTTGCTTTCTGCATCTGAAGAATGAAGTTTTTAATTACTACAAAGACTTCATCTTTCATTTTGAAAACAGGTATGTGATTGTTTCTCCTGAATAAAAAAAAATCACAGAGCAACAAAATCCTCACATAAAAATCATAACAAAACCCTAAACAAAAATAAAAACCCAACCCCTGCAGTTTTATCTTGGCGTCATATTTTAATCCTATCATGCTGACATGTAAGGGCTTTTACCAAGAGCAAGAGTACAGTTCCAGCTCCTGTACACAGAAACTGGAACTGTATTATTGCTCCAGGTAAAAGCCCTTACGCACAACCTTCAGTCTGCTGCCCACCTAAGCAGGTTGGCAGGCATTGCTGTCAAGAAATGGCCATTTGTGTGTTGCACAGTAGGAAATGGGTGTTGCTACTGTCTGACTTCTGATCTGACAATTTATACAATGATAACATTCTCACAATGGCCTTCTCATTTTTTAGATTTTCTGGATCCACTAGTGGGGTAGAGTTTCTGTTTCATAGTTCTGTTTCCATTGTGTTCGCAGAAACTTGTTCTAGTTTTAATTTCTCTTCCCACACACCCCACAATTGTGATCAGAATAAAATCAGTGAATAATGAACAATTAATTTTTCTTATATTCTAAATCTAATTTTTAAAGAGGCATGGTAGATAATTCACATTTTGTGATGTTAAACCAAAAAGAATATTTTGATTTTTGACTATTATATTTTTTCCTTAATTTTTGGTTGTTAATTTCTTGGATTAAGAACTAATGTTAATGCTTATATCCCAGTCATACAACTAAAGCAGCATTTATTAAAACTGAATACTTAGTTCTTTTTGGAAATTATTTTAATGAGTTTTATTATAAGGAAGATTTGGTAGTTTGGGAGACTTAGATGTGACAATATATATTATAAAATTACTCTAACATAAGGATTAAAATTTGGATACCATTCCTACCTTGTAATAGCCTGTTCTTTCATCTGTCTAGACCAAGAACTGCTGAAGCTATTTAACATCTTAATTTGTTCCAGCCAGACAACTATGGCTTCAGATTTCACAGCGAGAGCATAACTCATGAACAGCGAATCAATATTTCTATGCTCTATATGGTTAAGTAAAAATGGTTTTCATATCAGTAAGCAGATCAAAGTAATGCTTACATCTGTAGTTTTGTAGCTACCAGCACTGCAATTTTAATTGGTATTGGGATCCACAGTGAATGGCTCTTGGTCCTTCATATACACTTGCATGCATGAAGTTAACAGGTGTGTTTCTTGTTCACAGAAGGTAACTAATGCAGAAATATCTCTGGTTTAGAGGTAAATTTATTCAAAAATGATATGCATTTTTGAATAAATGGTCGGGTTTGGGGGTTTTTTGTTTGGTTGGGTTTGTGGGATTTTTGGGATGTGGATGTGTGTGTGTGCGTTCTGGTTTGGCTTTTATATTCCCCAGATTTTGCATAAAATACGTGAGGGTAGCAATCCAGCACCATCACAGAAAATATCTGAGGAAAATTGGTGGATAATTTTTCACTGTGCAGAAAATAACCTTTTGAATATGTTACTTCTTGCTTGTAATTTTATAAATACAGTGTTACCAGTGAATATTGCTAATTCTATCTTTCATTTTTCTTCAGCATAATCTGGCATAGTGCAGTTGCTATTGTTTATTTTATATTAATTTATTCTATTTTTTTCTAAAAATAATGGAAATGAAGATTTACATTCCCCTCTTCCCTAGATTTGTTCTTTGAATTTCTTAATTGTTTCATATTCTGAAATTCAATGGGGAATCACACATTCTGTGCTTTTTTTGGGAATTAAATTCCCTAATGCAAGGCTACATTTTTTATTTGTTGAGTAACTGCCTATTCACTTAGGGAAAACATAGCAATAGAATAATAACACAAAGTTGTTAGAAGACAGTCCATATTCTGTATTTGGACACTCATATTTCATATAATAAAGCATAATTGTTTTCATTTTAATTTGCCCTAGGTTTATACTGCACATATGGAGAGGGAAGAGTCCACGTTTCTGCATCTATAGCAAATGCATCTCTGTAAGTCCAGGTGAAGGCTGGCACTTTGCTCTTTTCCTTTTGTATTATGTGGCCTGGTAAGAGTAATCTAGGAGAACGGCCAAATCTGAAAAAAAATTAAAAATCTGTCCCTGAAAAATCTCAGTGAATCAGGATTACCAAACTGCATGGTTATAAAAAAAAATTGGGGGAGAGGGAAATAGTTTAGGTCATCTGAGAACTGTGTTGAAAGCTCTCAAGATTTCTAAGTGATTACAGTGGCAATATTCCCTTTATTTTCTTCTAGGACATGTAAATAAAGTCATGCATATTCTCTTGGTTCCAACAAGTGGTTCCTCAAGAGGAACATCAAATATCTCTGGAGTAATGGTAGGTAGAAAACAGCCTGTGGTAGAATACAAAAAATAAGAAGTAAATCTACTTTAGGTAAGTTAAATCTTGACTTTGTTTTCAATAAAAGTGACTGTTGAATGCTACTTATTATCTAAATAGGTTATCTGAGTACTAGCAACTTTGGTGCAGTGCTGTTGTGGCAAGTTCTGGTTTTCAATGAAAGATAAGATTGTGAGCCCTATGGGGGACCTCAAATGTACATTATCTGAGCTGCCAGCATCCTTTGAGGTGAAAATAATTTCAGACAGCTAAATGCCTTTATGTGTGTGAGGACTGTTACATTTTGGCCTGAGAGAAAATAACACTGGTAACTAAAAGGGCTTTTTCTGCCCTTTTTTTTGTTGCTTAATGTTGCTATAGGGCTCAACACTCTCAGTCTTTAAACATATTTATTTTCTGTTTTTTCTCTCTTATTTCTCTTTCTTCCTTTGTCCTAGTTTTCATAACTGCTCTTCCCAACAAGACAATCCTTCTATCTGCTTCAGCACTGTGATGAAAGCCATGTTAAGGTACTCCTGACATCTGTCCCTGGTGGCTCAGCACCAAACACAATTGTGCACACACTTGATCATGTGTGATAAAATGCTATGCTTTTCTTCAGCTCCAGCCTCAGGTTTGATTAAGGTCAAAGTTAAATTTAGCAGAATACTGTGAAGCGGGAAATATATTTACAAAGATTCTGTCTTGCTGTAAAATATGTTAAACATGATAAAATATATATGTGATGAATCTTGGTTATTTTCCCATGGAAATATAAAGTAAATTGACCCTCATTACTCTTGAGGGCTTGTGTAAATTCCTGTTGCCAGGTCTTAGCTGCAGGGAGTTCTGGCTTCGTCATCTTGTATGATTTATAGGACAAATTCTGTGGTAGCGATGAAAACATATAATAACATTAGCTGGCAAAAAATTCTCCCTTTTCTTTTTTCAGATTTTGGGTTTTAATCATAGCTCTTATCACCCCAGTGATGTGTCTATGTGGGTAATAATGTTGTAGTACCAGAATTAAATGTACACAGAGCAGAATCAGTACTGCTCAGTACAGACTCAGGGAAAGAAGTCCAGATGCTGGCTGGTTTCCTTCCAGTTCTGACATCTGCAATTTCTAGTGAAGAAAACAGTACCATATTCAAGACTCTGAATGTCTCCACTGTTCAAAGGGGCTACGCAGGTTTGTATCTTATGTGTGGCTTTGGTTATACAATCTTGACAGAGTTACTTCTGAGTCAGCCCTTTCAAAAAAAAAAAAAAAAAACAGAGGAGATATTTGCAACTCTGAGAGTGAATATATGCCTTCACAAAATTATAGAGACTCAACATATTTATGAAGTTTTTTTAATAAGTAAGCACTAATAAAGAGTACAGGGAAAGATAGATATTCTAAAGAGTGTCTGAACTGCACATGTTTACTTTGATGACAGGTCTGATATCCCTGGAAGAACAGTGAACTAGAAACTGAATGTGACCACAAACTATTAAGAAAAACTCCATTCAACCAAGAAAGTATTTCAGCCATGCAGTAGAGTAATAGCTTCCATGACTACTCTACATTTAGGGGAGAAGATGTTTGACATGTTTAAAGAGGTTTGGCTTTCTCATCTGAATTTTCCATTACACTCGATAAAAAGTTGACAGATCAATTTTATTTAGGGAACAATTTGTACGGAGTTTCATTGAAAATTACTATGAGAAATTTTTTTCTTAGGCAAGAGTACTGTATATTGTGAGAAATTCTGAATGTACTGCGCATGACAAAGAAAGACTTCACTGTTTTCTGCCATTCTGTAGCAGTTGCACGAGTATATTGGGCTATTGCTGTCACTTATAAAGCAAGAAAATAGCTATCTGGAACCAATGAGAAAAAAACTTACTTGGTTTGTTATTGAATTTTTGTTTTTCTATTTTTGATTAAAGATAATTGAAGACGCAGTACATGAAAGGCTAGATGAGAAGTTTTGTTTCAAAAGCACATTTTTGTACACATTTGTCTTCAACAAATTAAAATGCTCAGCCCAGCCTTTTGGTGGTTTGATTACCTCTTGACCTTGTCAGATCCAGACAACCTGAATGACAATGAGCTGTCACTTCACCCTAGTGATTACGTCATATTGCTGGAAGTTAAGGGTACCAAAATCTCTCCTTTGTACAGCAGTTTGCCAGTTTTGTTGTTATTCTTATATTATCCCTATCCATCTATCCAAAACAATGTCCAGGAATCCCATCCAAACTCAGTGATCTTCTAACTCTGTACAAAATATGTGAGGTATATAAGAAATGGGTTGTAGTGGAAATGCTAAAAGAGATGTAATGTCCTCCAAGTACCTGAAGAAACCAGAGCAGAAATGTACTTAGACTCTGAAGAAGTAACAGGAAGACACTAGCAATATAATTTCTAAAAAAAAAAGGAAGATAGGAAGATATTCTATGCAATTCTGGTTTGATGTTAGATGAAATCACCTGAGAAAGATAAATACAAATGAACTGTCTTGTGTTAGGACTTAAAAGACTTCCTGGGCTGTACGGCTTTGTGGTATTGATAGACAACTCTGAAAAATTCATTTCATGCTTATCTACTGCAGCAAAATCATTGATTGAATTGCTAAAAAAGGTAAAAACTGGGTTGCAGGAATGCCAACACAACATGAGGTGCAGCTACGTAAAGGTTTGTGTATTCTGATATTGTTTTATCTGTGACCTTGTCTTGTGGTTCCTTCCTCATGGGAGCAGGAGCTGTGATCTCACACTGATTGCCAGATGGCAGCAGGAAGCCCAGAGCGCATGTACTGACAAACAGCGGGGGAAAACCAGCTGCACAGAGTGATTGCACACTGCCAGCAAAGAGGCACTGAGCTGGAGCCCAGAGAGAGCACTGAGATACCTGCCAAGTCAGAAAACACAGGTGGGAGCAAGGGTCTGCACTTCTTTTCCAAATGACACAAGAAAAAATGGACAAGTTTTGACATGTGCACATAACCAGGACAAGTAGCTGTGAACTTGCTGTGCTCCTTATTACTCTCTGTAATAGAAAATTTCCAAATAGGCTAATTATGCAAGTTATATGATTTTGTATGCACATGCATAGGGCTACATTTTCTGATAGTTAAACGAGCCCCAGAGAGCAGCAGGGCTCATTTGTGAAGCACTGAATAAAACCCTAACAATCTCCTGTCTGTGAAGTGAAAGTCCTTTTCTTATCAGTCTTTGGTCAGACAGCAACTTTGTCCTATCAACTGACACTTTTGTCAGGTTGTTATTGTAAACAAATAAATTTGTTTATTGTGTCAGGGATTCCAGGAAGATAATGTTTGTGAAGGTGAAAACAGGCCTGGCAAAAATAGAAAAATGTCCTTATTTTTCCTAATAGGGCACCTCACACTCATCAATTCATACTGAAGTAGCCTTTTCCTTTTTTGTAAACCTTGTCTTGCTTCTCCACAAATGCACAGAGAAAACGAAGAGAACCAGAGATGTCGAAGGGAAAGCTTTCATCCATTCTGCACCCTTTTTCTGTGTTTCCATTTGGTTATCCACAACTTATTCTGATGTCTTGAATCCTCATTGCTGTTGTATGTGTTATTCCCCTGTTGCTCCCGCCTCCAGGAACATCCAGATGATGTGCTGTCATGTGCAAGACTATTTTTCTTATTGCGTGTTTTGGTAGTCTGTTATTTTTTTGCAGACAGCAGTTCCCAGAGTTTCTAATTGGCTTCTACTAACATAAAGGATGTGTCTTTCCTTGAGCTGCTCAGGTATTTCTGTTTGGTTCTGTAAATGTCACCAGGTTTGATCAAGCAGAAAGAAGCATGTGACACTGGAGTGGTATTGCTGTCATCTGGAGGGGAGACTTAGTTCCCTGGAAGACGTGGTGCATGAAGATATTGCAAGTTTTTTAAAATCTTCTGGTGCTTGACACCTGCAGTCTGCCTGGAAACAAGTCTTTAATGCTATTAGAGAAAAAAGACTTCTTTTTGCTTTATTACTTTTTTTTAAAATGTGAATTTTATACTGTTGGAAAACCATCACACTGACTCCATTATAGCTAGAGAAGAAGTCTGGGGTAGGGCAGAGGAGGGAAAATGCAGCCATCCCAGAGATTCCAGAAAGAGTGGTTTAGGAATGCTTTGGGGAGATCATTTGCCTTCTGGAAAAATTCTCCATTTTCACTCAGCTGCTTTACCTAGACTATAGCTGGCAATTTCCCCTTGTCCTTTACCTTTGGGGCTGACCTACAGGTCGCAAAGAATGAACCCCAAAGGTTTATGTGCTTGGTCAGGCACAAACCCCTGCTGCATGTGCAGCTGTCAGCACTGCCCAGCTGGGAGAGCACACCTGTAATTGCCCATTTGTGGCCAAGGAGGCAGCAGGAGGGAAAACTCTTGACTGCCTGAAGCTTTCTCTTTGTCCATGAGTCAGATTCTGGCTTCATTTCTCTGATGAGAGAAGAAGTGGAGAAGGAGCTCCCACTGCTTTTGTGCCCATCCCACTCGATATCAACCTAAAGTTTTATGCTATTCTAAGTGCTGATTCAGGCTGGATTTCAACCCATCGCCTAAAGGAAAAGAAGTTGTTTCTTTCTAGTACAAATTTTTGGAGCCTTTTCTTTTGTTTTCCTTTTCTTCTCACTTAGGCAGCCAATACAACTTGAGATAAGAAATTAAGAATTGATTTTGCCAAGAATTTGCACATTTCCTTAAAACTGAAGACTAATGCAACCTAGACATGTGAAGAGAACCAGACTGCTCTTATGCTTGTAAAATTTGTAAGCACAGTCTTCATTGGCTAAAAACTAGGTGCATGGAAACTTTTTGACCATGAGCAGTCTAAATTGAGTCTTTACATTGAATATCAGGATGGATTATTTTAATAATGAGTAATACAATCATACTCTTCCTGGCACACGTGTAACCCCCACAGATTTAGCTACATTTCTTCAAGTGTGACCAATGGAAATTTTCACAGCAATGCTGTTGTTCCAAAGGACAGACCATGCCTAACTTTTCTATTATCTTATCTGATTCTGCAGGATTAGTCAGATAGAGCTTTGCCCCTAGGGCAGGCTTACTAGACAGGATGTACGTCTGGCAGGGTTTTGATGAGAAAAGCAATTTTGTTTTGTGTTGGTCATTTTCTTGAGTTCCTAATAGTAGTTTAAATTGTTCAAATTTTTTCAGGTTTGAAGCTCAGTTGTTTGGAAGTTGTTTTCCAGTACTGAAAAACTGTACCAGTCCAGTATAATCTTCTCAAAGAAGAGATAACTAACCTCTTTGGTAGCTGATTGAAACACAGAGAGGCTGCAGGAGTTGCTTCAAGACTTCTCACTATTCTTTTCAATGTTGCTTTGCCCAGAAAATCAGCAAAAGTAGCTTTTGTTGAAATGGAATAATTACAGCTTTCAAACTTCACATGTCTTTTAATAAGACTTCTCATGTTCTTCCCTCATAAGCTGGAAGGAAGAAACTGGTGGTGCTGAGGGAAGCAGGGTAAAAGTGGGAGCACTTGTAATCCCCTATTGCCCATTATCCTGTCAGGATATTGAAGGAGGAGACAAGATAGGAGACATGATGTTTCAAAAGTGAGCAACTAATGAAAAACTCATGGCTCCCAGGAGTGGGAGTCCAGTGTTGGAGTGAAGAGTATCTTTTACAAGGACTTCAGTACTTGCAGAGCACCCAGGGTTAAGTGTTCATTTAAAAAGACTACTGGGTAAAATAATTTTTTTTCCTTTTAAATAAGTAGTGCATAAACTAATGTAAACGAAAATAATTAATCCTCTACAAAGCCTACTTCAACAGTGCTTTAGCATGATTCCTCATTTGTTAGTAAATTAATGCTAAAATTGACATAACTGAATTCAGTTGCAGAGCCTGGGCTTCTATTTTGCATTTTTTTTGTTCTTGATAGTTTTTGTATCTGTTTGTAATTATATCTAGTTGGATTTGTTGGTGGGGTTTTTTTGTTTTTTGGTTGTTTTTTTTTTTTTTTTTTTTTTTTTTTTTTTTTTTGGTTGGTTTTTTTTTTTTTTGAGAAAGAGAAAATCCTTCTTTCAGACTGTATTTCTTATTATTTTCATCTCCCTCCAAATCCTCCCCCTTCATTTATAGGTCTCATGCCCCAAGAAGCCAAACAATTTATCTCCAGCTTTCTAATACAGACATTTTCTCTGGCTAAATTAGAGGAAGCATTTTTACAGTAATCAGCAACAAATTGTATAGCAAAATTCCCTCTGTTATTGAATTGCATACCCCAAATGTTCAAGGACATCTGGTACAATTAACACCCTCCTTCTAAGAAGAGGATGAAAGTGCTACTTCCTGCTCAGTGTCTCTTCTTTATTGCTCCTAGCTACAAGGACATGTGTGGCAACTTCTCATATCTACTCATGAAGATGAGATGCTTTATCACAAAAGCCACCAGAACCCCAACAAACTATACTGTGTTATACCCAAAGTCATCTGGGTGGCCCAATGAACCACTAATCTCAAACTGCCCTTTCTTTTTTTTCAGTGCATTACCAGTGCAGAATGCCCCACTTTTTCTCACCAGCTCAAATGTTCTTTTGACTGTATCAACTGTAAAAAATGCACTTCTTGTACAAAAAGGGGAAATTCAAATGCCAGTTTTGTCCCAGAGTTTCATTTCCTTCTTTAGGGCAGACTTCTGACATACATGTGAGACTTGGCTAAGAACAGCAGTAGGAACGGGGGGTGTTGACACCCTTTTGCCAAGATATGCTCCCCCATTCTTCTCTTCATCCTGAAAGCACTGAATGCAAATGAATTTCTATCAAAATAATTTTTATTCCTCACTGCATCACCTTTGTTCAATCCTCACTGAAAATGTGCACACAGAGACTGTTTCTTCATTTAGTTGCCATAACTTTGTATCATGCCCATCAGGAATATGGTTTTGGAAGGGGAAGAAAGGCAATCATCTCTGTCATAAGAAAAGTGGAGGGGTCAATATTGAGTGAATTTCAAAACATCACCTTTCTCCACACACTGCTGTATCTAGTCAAGTGTCACCCTGGCGCAAAGACAAGGTTGGTGTTGGCTGATGGTTTGCTAGATTTCACTCAGATGTCTGTTGCCTTCAGCATCCTGTTGGAGGTGTGTCTCAGGGAGAGAGAAAAGCAATAGTCTTGCTTTATAGTTATGTTAGTTGAACTGTGAGGGCTTTTGGTTTTTTTTTTTTTTAATTTGTTTTTGTTTTGTTTTGTTTTTTTCAAGGGGAGGAGTGGTCTTTAGTTGCTGGGTTTTTTTTTTTTTTTTTTTTTTTTTCTCCTCCCCAGGTTTTAAAGATATGTAGGAACTACTTCCCCTAAGTAAAGGCCAGGACCTCCAGACATCCACTTTAGGGCAAGGAGAGTGTTTTGCTTCAGACCTGATTTGAGAAGCTAAAGGAAGTGGAGGAAAAGCTGTGACTCATTAAGTTAATACAGCCTAGGAGTTATCAGAAAATTATCTTTTCATTGGGCTTTCTGAAACTAGTGTATCCCTTGCTGAAAAATTCATCAGTATCTCTGTGTTAGTACAAAAGAAAGTCTGTTGAAAAATTCTTCCAGATATTTATAGAGTTTGTATTCCATCTTCTTCCCAGTTTAGAGCAATTAAAGAAATTTAGATCTGTATAAAATTAATGCGTACTGAGAAGTTGGGTTTCTCATAATCTTAATGTTGTTTATTAATTATTGTTATTCAAAATTCTTATGGGACATAAAAGGTAATGGTATTTCATCTAAGAAGAGTTTGGATATTATGACATTGCAGAAGGTTTAAGTACATAAGCAAGAGTTCAACTGCTAACAGATTCTACCAGTGTCTGAGAAAATGAAATTGATTGGCAAGTTACCAAGAAAAATCTGTATCTGTAAGTCAAATGCAAAGACTAAACAGAATCAAAAAGAATTTGGCATTTTCTTCTATCTTACTTGTGAATATACTAAGAGCTGGATAAGTTATCATTTAATCTTTTATAAGTGTATTTTGAAAGATATTTTAATAAGCTACCATTATAAATGATAAGAGACATGAGATAGATAGGAATGGCTGCTTCTTGATGGTTATTGATGGGCCCAGAAGAGCTACATACACAAATGATTGTGAGCAAGATTTAAAGAGGCTCTAAATTTAGAGGTATAACAGAGTAAACTGAAAATG